AAAAAAAAAAAGAAAAAATATGTATATATTTTTTTGCTTCTTCTGGTTAAAGCGTCCTCCGGGTATAGCGACATAAAATCGTCGGTCCCTTGAATGTCGCTATAGTCGGATTCCACTGTATTTATTATGTGCATTAGATTATTCTATTTTATTTATACCTAAACGCATTACGTAAAATTAATCGTTCATATAATATTAGCATACATGTACATATACATATGTAAATTGATATAGTCTGCTAGGAACAGCTGCATCCCTCTACGGACATATTTGGTATTACACTCAACACAAGTTGGTGATTTTCGTCAAAATACAGCAAGCTTAAGGAACTCATTTTCGTTGGCGAACAACATGGCGTCGCCGACGTAGTCAGCGCTGCTAAATGCGTGTGTGGATACTGCTCCAAATACCCAACCCTGCAGTCCCCGCTGCAAAAGTATGCATCGAATGATGTGGGAGCCACAACAAAGTGCCATCCGAAGCTGGTAAAGTTAACCTTTAAAGGATATCGACAGCAGCGCATATCGTGATCGTTCTCGGTGCAATCGAGATAAACGCTTCGTTTTCTTCGATGTTTTTTGCGGGATCCAATTTCAATATGCACGGTCTGTAAAGAAAGAAAATGTTAAAGATCAATGTACACCAGTGAAAGAATGTGTTATCTAGGCCCACGTCTTATAAAAAAAAAAAAAAAAAACAAGTAAGAAAGCTCTAGTCTAGACTGCACGACTACGAGATCCCCTAACCCTTCGAGCAACTGATATTTCAATAATACACACGAGCACATACAGCCATACGCACGCACGCATAAACACGCATTGGCTGCAGTGGTGGCTTACTATGGGAAGTTAATTGTTGAACAACTTTTCTTGTGGATGGACTATCTTTAGGAAACTTTCAGATAGTGAATATAACATATGCATATATTTGCCAAAGCATAAGTCCCTAGTATTTGAAATACGTTTTTTACAAATGTGAAGGTGAGGGGTTGAACAGGGGTAGGGGGTAAATTTAGATAAAAGTCTAAATTCCATAAAGTACATATAAATCTACATTAAAAATTTAGTGACTCTAGCTTTAAAGATGTAGGTATATCAATTTAGAACTGATATTTTAATAATTATTCGCACATTCACACGCACACGCCCACACCCAGACACACGTACGCACGCATAAACACGCATTGGCTGCAGTGGTGGCTTACTATGGAAATTTAATTGATTAATAACTTTTTTTGTGGACGTACGATCTACATGAAACTTTCAGATTATTTTGAGAGTCTGGTTTTAAAGATGTAGGAGATATAAATTTATTACTGGTTTTCGATAATGCTTTTAATCGATAACAAAATAACGGGACAAGCTATCGATATTTAWAGCAAAACTCGATATGCGTGCGAAAAAATTTCAAATCTCTAACTCTTATATCTTTTGAGATCGACGCGTTCAACCATACGGACAGATGGACAGACAGACAGAGCTAAATCCACTCAGCTGATCCGTCGCCCTGATCAGGAATATATATACTTTATGGGGTCTGACACGCCTCCTTCTGCCTGTTACATACATTTAACAAAACCATTATACCCTGATTTCCCATTGAAAATGGGTTCAGGATATAAAAAGCAGCCTACAAACATTTTTCAGTAAATATGTAGTATTCTTATGACTTATGACAATAAGTGCGAAGGATTATTTTTATTATCATAACAAATATTTGAACGAAGCACCTGAATATAAAGAAATGTTATGTTATGTTTCAAATATCTCTTGATTATTGAATATATAGATTTGTATATATACCAATGGATTTTTTGCAGTACTATCTGTCGTGACAACCAAGGGCCGCATCCATGGCTCGACACCTTTTATAAAAATCTCCTGGGTTTGACTGGGATCTATTGCGGCTCCTGTACCTATTAAGGGTTTCAAATCCACGTTGACCCATTGACCCAATCCAGTTGGAATTTTATGTCGGAACTCGAAGATTTTTGCCTTGTGCGTATAATTTGTGTTATTTGCTCGACGTATAGCCCGATGCAAGGCTACGACAATCTCCTTATTCTGAAAATCGGACAATTCTTCAAGCATTTTCGGTTGATAGATACTGATCCATTCCAATCCACGCAAATACAAGTGAAGTGTCACATAAGAAATATCTGAGGATCCTGATTCAAATTTGAAACGTAAGACATCTGTTTTCCGATTATGTCGCACATGGGGCTCTAAAAAATAAAAAATAAATAAAAAGCAACCAAAACAAGTAAAAAAGCTCTAGTCGAGAGTGCTCGAATACGAGATCCCCTGAACCCTTCGAGCAGCTGATATTTCAATATTTATTCGCATATGTACACATACACGCACACACACAGACATACGTACGCACGCATTAACACGCATGGGCTACAGTGTGCGCTTACTACATATGAGAACTTAATTTCTTAATACCTTTTTTTGTGGATGTAGCACAAGTCTCTAGCATTTGAAATACGTCTTTTACAAACAAGTGAAGGGGTGAATACAGGAGTGGGGGGTAAATTTTAATAAAACCGAAATTGTATAAAATGCATATAAATATACATTTGGAGACTCTAGCTTAAAAGGTGTAGGCGATATAATTTTATAACTGATTTTCGATAAGGTTTTTATCGATAAAAAAATAAAGGGATGAGATAAATTATATCTTCTGAAATCGACGCGTTCAAATATACGGACAGACGGACGGACGGACAGACGGACAGGACCAAATCAACTCAGCTCGTCGCCCTGATCAGGAATATATATACTTTGTGGGGTCTGTCACGCCTCCTTCTGCCTGTTACATACATTTCAACAGAATCATTATACCCTGATTTCCCATATTCATACCAAGTAAGAAAGCTTTAGTCGAGACTGCTCGACTACGGGATCCCTTGAACCCTTCGAGCAAAAGATATTTCATTCATTTTTCGCGTCTTTCTCCGTACACAAGACACACGTACACATACACTAACACACACACGCACACACACACAAACACCAAACATACGGACACGCGGACAGACGGACGGACAGACAGACGGACAGGGCTAAATCAACTCACCTCGTCGCCCTGATCAGGAATATATATACTTTGTGGGGTCTGCCACGCGTCCTTTTGCCTGTTACATACATTTCAACAAAACCATTATACCCTGATTTCCTATTGAAAATGGGTTCAGGGTATAAAAATGCAGTGCATTTTGGACCGCGAAAGAGCATTGTACAGACTGGCCTTATGGACTGTATCATTTTACTTCTTTAATTAATGTCTAATGAAATCATATTAATATTAATATTTCAACATCATTTGAAAAATAGTATATAAAGCGAGTTAAATTTAGTTTGTCAGCAATTGTTATTACTAAAAAATTTTACCACAATTTATTACAAATAGTAATAGTATTTAACTCACGTTCTGGAAATATATAAACACGGTTTATATGGGAAAGTATGCTTTCATATTCAATATCATCGTCGTTAATTGTAAATTCAGTGGCCTTATGCATTGGCATTTGTACCCGTTGATGCTTATCAATTTCAATATTATAGATATACTGAAAATCTTTAAAATTATTAGGATCGTCACCCTGCATTTCCAAAGACGTATTTTTATTGGACGCTTCATATTTAGAATTATTATTAGAGCTCTGTTTAATGTTTTGCGTAATATTCACAGAGTCCGTCACAGTATCTTCATGCATATACAGAGCAGATCCAAGCTTGTTTGGAGCAGGAGTAGCAGCACCGTTTGGCTTACTCTTTTGACCCCACATCGAGTTCAAAAGCGAGGAATTATAGTTTTTGTAAAAATTCTCCAATATGTTCTGAGGTACATTTATTGGCTTTGTTATATTGGGCAATTTCTTTAAGTTCAGTCGCATCAAAATATGCATCTTAATCGATTCCAAGCTATCCTGTTTCGCTTTCTCCCTCAGCTGACGTTGCAGCACAGAATCTCCACTAATCAAACTATTTCTGTTTACGCTAAATCCTTGTATGCTTGCTGGCATTTGACCTAGGGGCTGATCCGACCGCCTTTGGCTCTGGCTTTGGCTGTGTTCCTTTATAATTGGAGTGTGAATAGCAGTTGTATGTGTTTGATTTCGATGGCTTTCTGTGCTGTTTGATCCAAGCAATTTTTCTGTGTCTCTCGTTACTTCCTGGGCAGATGCTAGAATAACGATCGATAATAAAATCGATAGTAAAACTTTAGACGCATATCGGGTGACTACCAATCGAAACTGCCAGCTCCTATTGTTCCTCATAATCATCATCATCTGTTGTCGTTTYATAGCGCTGTGGCATTGGCAAGACTTTTTTAAAGACATATTAAGAAAGAAGTTTGTGCAATCGGAATCGTATTCGGAATCAAAATCGCAATCGGATTCATCAATGCTAGTTAAACGATCAATTGTTTTCCCATTTTCTGTTTGACCTCGTTGATTTTCGGCTAACCTTGTAGTTTCCTTTAGTGACGTCATGGCTTAATAATCGTTTCCAAGACTCAATTCTGGAGTATTTTCCTTAAAAAAGAAAAAAGTGATTCGATAATACAATAAAATGTAAACCCTTTTCTGGTCCTTAGATTTAACAAGTAAGTCGGTTCTAGTTAAGACTGCTTGACTAGGAGATATCCTGAACCCCTCAAGCTGATATTCCAATCTGTACATCTTTTATGCACACATATATCTACACACCCGTATAAGAAAGTGCTCTGTGTTGTTAATTAATTTCTCTTGTAGTAAGACTGTCTTCATGAAACTTTCAGAACGTGATCATATTGTTCTAGTACCTGAAATACGTTTTTTACAAATTTGGGGCGAAGGATCCGTGGTATCCAAAATCTGTAAATTACGAAATCTTTGTATTCATCAAATGTATATACCCTAAATCTGAAATCTGTAGGTCTAAAAGTGCTCAAATTAGGCTGAAAAGACAATATCAATTTATCGATCATTCTCGATAAAGAGAAATTGAATGAGTTTTCGAAGTTGTACTGCTTATGGTATGGAGTATACATGCAAAATATCTCTAGTTCTTATATCTTCAGAGATCTCGGCGTTCATACGGACTAAGGGATGGACAGACGGACAGGCTATATATTAAGCTAGTCGCCCTGGTCAAGAATATATATACGCCTTTTACATACTTTTCACAAAGCATTATAACACATTATAACCTGATTTCCAATTTCAGTTCAGTTTAGGTTATACAATTACATAATTTTTATATAGCAATAATCTGACTATGAGTTGCCAGTTTAAATGCAAAGATTACTGTCATTCTTTACATATAGATAGAGTCCAACGAAAGGATATTGTCAACTGATATTGTTACTGATAAATTTTTACAATGACTAGGGTGACCATCTGGGCCGGAGCCCAGTTCGGAACTGTCAAGAACTCCCCCCCCCCCTCCCCAGTCCCTCTCTCATTCGCTCTGGAAAATAAGCATTTTAAATAAATCATTTGTCACACAGACTAATACATAAATTCAACTTTTACTTTCTTCATATTTAGCATAATTACATTATCTTGGGACTATTTCCACAAGAAGAACATTCATATACATATATTAATACATCCTTATATTTAATTGTTATTATATTCATGCTTGCCTGACTTATACTTCTCCAATTTGTCTATTTTTCCGAACATATTTACATAACATTTCTTTCATCCATATTTAATGTTTTTATAAACAAAATTCTTGACTTGTCTCTACACAAACTTCTTCAAGTTTGCATTTCGTCAAAATGACTATTTTTTTTATCGACACAAAACCGTGTATTTTATTATTAAATATACACATATTTGTTCGGTCAAGTACACTCACCAAATGTCTTATCCAAGTTTTACAATCAACACCCACAATCACTTAACAGTTTCAATCCCATCATATTCCTTTATATTTATTATTATTTTCCTCTTCAAGATATGTATGGGTATACATACATACATGGATAAGTATGCATTAATACATATACATGTACTGTGTGTATGAATATACATACATACATATGAATTTTTGTAAACGTAACTGGCGCGATTTTTCGATTCGAAGCTCTCAAGCCAAATGCATTGTTATGAATATAATAAATACATATAAATTAATAATAATAATAAAATTTACCCATCAAATGTTATAAAGCCGGCAGAGATGTATGACTTATTTTATTTATTCTCGAATTTAATACATTATGTGCTAATAAATCTGCTTTCGGTGTGAGTGTATTCTATTCACGCTCAGTTCCGAGCTCTTTCGTTTTGTGCTGTAGTTAGTTTTTCGAGCTTGTTTATTCTCTTTAATCTTTACCGAGTGTTGGTTTATGTACATACGTTGATACAGGCATACATATATCTTTGTATTAATTAATATATGCCTGTACAAATATAGATGTGCATACACACAGACATATACATACCTATATACATTTGTTTGCATTCATTCGTCAGAGTCTTTTGGTATATGTTTGTGCTGTGTGTGTTACGTTCACGGTGTGCATAAACGGTTCATATTCATGTGAATCTCACTCAGAAGCTCTTGATGGATCACTCTTACTCTATTATATTCAATTAAAATCATTTATAAATCATAATCAATTTTTGTGTTCTTGAACTTCAGGTCAGTGTTGAAAGTGCAGTTATTCCTTTTGATGCATTCAGATTTATGTGTGCATGTACATACATTTACATACATATGTACATATGAACTACATATTAACTACGTATCTCAAAGCGCACATAACCAGTATATGTAAATATGTATGTATGTATACATATAAGAATTTCGATAACAAACATTTGTATATGAAAAAAAATATATA